GCGAATATTGATGCGTAATAGTACAGTAAGAATATTCGCTTGAAAAATACTGGTTTGACGTCAAATTCTGATCGATTAATTTGAAGGTCTTTAGTGGTAAAATAATCTCGGTCTCTACTCGGACTATAGTACACTCTATGTAGACATACGAAAAGAAGATGTGCTCGTAAACTGTATGTAATATTACTAATATAGTTTGATTATCAGAACTTCTCTGCAAAAATTGCATGTGCCGTCCACCAGCGGAAAGCTTGAAGAACAAAAGACTCAGATGAAGCATATGGTCATACGATGAAAAGTATATGAGAATGGCCACACCCCTCCCTTCATCAAAAACACAACGTTGGCTCTATTTCAGCTATACCCTTCGAACAGAGTTCAAAAGATTTCCAGTTGTACTCTATCGTTTGCATGGCGTATAATTAATTTTTCATCCCCATATCTTCTGAGCTTGCAGGTGTTGCAAATATAGAGTTGGTTTTCCCATGCGTATCTGAGGGCAAAATCAGATCAAATTGTTTAGTTTAGCTTGAGTAACCCATGCAAATAACACACAGCCTCAAACAACTGATAAAGTAATTGTTTTTGGTGCTATAAACGATTGTAAGGTTAGAATTCTGTGCTTAGTAATTTTGAAACGATAGTTACGATGAAAGAGCAAGCACATACGAGTAGCTATTCTGAGCCTGGCTTCTGACCTATATGTGTTCTATAATTACTGTAATAGTAATTTAGATTTAAAACGAATGTAAACAATTGTCTTAATAAATTCTCTTTATTGTAACAATAAAATAAGCGCTCACATGAAATTTCGGCTTCGATACGTAACAGAGCTAACCACAATCAATATCTGTAATGGCAATCAAAGTGAAACATATTTACTGTCTGATATGAGCTCACCACAACATAAATATGGTAGTATTTTTATAATTGTAGTTTGTACTTTATCATTAGCAATATTTTAATTGCACAATTGTTTCTTATTTTGTTCCTTGGAGTCGATGCAAATAAATAAAACACGTTATTTGTTAATACAAAGTAATTATTACTATTAGAGATTCACATGTGACTGTTAAGGTTCATAAACTTTGGTACCTCAAAAAACTATTATTAAGAAGTATTACAGTTTTTCTGTAATACAAACTACCTGGCAACATGGCGCCCGTTTCTTTGACAGTCCCTTATTGTTCAACAAAATGAAAACGTCGCAGAGCTTATATCTACTTTCAAAAATAGATTACCTGCTCTTTAATAGTGAGATGAAATGCATTTTGGGTGGTACCCATGAAATCGTTACGTCTAAGGGCAGTAAAGAGTTCAAACCAAGCTTTGACGATGTATTTATCCGTACATTTCTTAGAACATACAGTAGTTCTAAAGCTGCTTTCCTAATGTGATTTAATCGTACTTGGGGAACTAGAAGTGTTTTGAAAAATGTGTATACTGTTTACATTATTGTTTAACAGTAAAATGACTGGTGTTAATTTTGTTTTTTTTTTTTGTGAATTTGTTTTACCATGCATTTGAAAGAATGTTGGTAAAGGTAATAAATTAGATTTCCGATGAAGAATCTGCGCATTATCATCATAATGTTAAAGCATATCTTAATGATAATGTTCTAGTAAAGTGAGTTGGATAAAAAGGTTTCGTAGAATAGTCTGCTTGTTACCTAGATCAATCTACACCAAAAAACGGCCGATAATGAGTGAATTAAAAGCTACAATTGGGAAAAAATGGACTGCAATATTAACAACACACGTTTGTGAACGAATAGATGACGCTACCAGCAGTGTATTGACCAGAAAGGTAATTATTCGACCTTTTTGAGACAGTCTGTAGTGTTATCTGAACGAATCGATTCCTAAGATAGCCACTGTACGTATAAAAATATGGTAAAATTTAAAATACTTTCTTTTAGAGCGTTGAAGCAGATTTTTCGTCACATACCATATGCTAGAAGAAGCAATAATTATTCGATCCTTTTTAATCTATTGCTTACGAAGGCGAAAAATTTGAAATGGTTGGCTATGTCACCCATTACGAATTTGTAGAATTTGCGCAAATTCGATCGTAAAATACTCGGTCCTATTTGGCGAGGACATGAAATGCTCCAAACAAGTGTGCTACCGGCTTAATATGGGGACAACTCTCAAACGTTAAAGTCTTATCGACAAGTCCGCAGTCGCAATTAGTAGGTATGAATGTCTATGCCCGACGTCTCTTGACGAATTCAGCATTTCTCGCGGTATATATAAATAAATTCGTTATATTCAGTACATCTTATTGTACTTTTTCTTTGCATTTGACCTACACGTTGTTGATATAAAAAAAAAAACTAAAGCTAAAGAAGCAACATTGGATATGGGCTTCAGGCCTGGTGGCTGAATACCTGAAAATACGTTTCGCTACCTTGATAATGTTTCTTGCAGTCCTACTTACAGATATCCCGCCCATACAGGGACGTGTTGCCTCAATTATTATTGATGTCACAGCTTCATGGGCAACATGCTATATCTTACCTTTCGATACGTTCGGTAATTACTCATGATTAGCTCTTATTTTTCTATGCTTCATGCCTCATGACTTTCATTGTTTTTCATTGTGCCGCAGGTATCAGGCGTGTCCCTATCAAAACGTTCATGAGTTTAATACCAAGCTGTTAATTCTTCAATGAAGGGATGAAAGATCTTCAATGAAAGGGAATTTACAAAAGCACTTTTTCATACCGTTTTAAATTAATGGAAATCTCCGCTAATTTATTAATTTTTAAATAAATTAATTTATCAATTAATTACTGTGTTGGTTAAAATCATGATCTTAGATTTCGTGTGTTGGACAGTTAAAAAGCTGTGTAACATTTAGAAAATCACGAAATCCAAACAAAAAAAAAGCAATGATTTGGTGGAAATAAAATAATGCTATTATGTTTGTTTTATACGGTCAGACATTGCGATTTACATACCTCAACAAACGTTTATATTTTTCTTCTATTTGTTTTATCTGCTTGGCGCCAAAAGCCCACTGACAAGTTATGGGCAAACCTAAGGGCTTTATAATATTGTGCCATGTTTAATTCGTAAATGGTGTACGACAAGGGTATAACGCGATGATGACACGGTTATATTAACACAGCTTCAACTATAAAACTCATTAATGCATTACGCTTTAGAGATTTTGTTATCACAAAAAAGTAGCACATCATCCAGAAAATCTAGAACGAGCATCCTTGTTGTCAGGTCCGATAATTACACCTTCTACATCAACTGTTCATCTGCAATATTCTCTACACACTAGCGTGTCCGTTTGGTAAATAGAAGGGTCTCAGAAAGGCCGTTCTGCGGGGTCACAACGTGGAGAGTCTGCATCAATGTGTATCCAGAATTTCATAACTGTTTTTAAATTCCTGTTGTTATACAAAATAAACTGCTTACGTTTATAGTTGATTTACTTATATATCCCACCGTAAACAAAGTATCGCGATATTATGAATTATCGAGAACGCATATATTTCGCGACTTGATGCTCTCAATTACTTCGTATTGATCGTGATTCTGCGGCACTCTTTAACTACGATTATTTATTTAAAGTTTTATTCTGTACCTATATGAAAAACTGCTTCGGGAACAAAGTTATATTAAAATATACTATTGCTAGGAAAGCAAGTGCATAACAATTAGTAACTGTGCATCCCAGATTTTAAACATACTATGTACGTATTTAAACATATGGGAATACAGGAAATATATCGAAAATACAAGTATAAACGGCACATAGTATGTGCTCAATTTCACCAGAAATTCAAGAGAATAATACTACACGATCCGTAATTTTTGCCTTATGTGTCCTAAAACATGCATATAGTTCCGACCCTCTGATTAAACAGAGGTATACATTTTGTATGTGTACAAATTTATGAACATCGCACTGATATGGTATCGCATTGATATGGATACAAATTTATGATCATCTTTACTGTAGCCAAAAAAAAAAGCCTTCTATTACATTTCGATTTTAGCACTTGGATATGTATGGAAAGAAACTATGACGTCTGAATAATAGGTTCATTCACAAAACTACTTTTTTTTTTCTAAAAAAAGTAAAGGTAGCTGAGATGTGTTATGTGCCCTTCGAAGGACTCGATAAGAAGCACAATGAGTATTTCCATTTAAGCCATTATGACTATTTTTCTTAAATGTCTGTTTTGGGCACACGGTGTAGCTGGTACATCAAAATAACTGTAGCACGTTGCATTGGAATGCTTAGCTCAAATTCCGGTTGAATATAAACGCAAGCGTATTATGCTACATGCTGTAAACTACACTTTAAGAAGATGAGTATTTGAATTTCTACTTTGCGACATTGTAATTGATATATATTAAATATGACTTTGCTGAGTTAATCAGAGACCAACATGCTACAGGAATATTCTAATGCTAGTGAGAAATAACCGCAAATCGACGATCTGTGGCAGAACTTAATCTCCTTCAAGGACGCCTGCGACTTCTGCTAACAAGACTTTAGACTGTGCATAAACGTACACAATTTAAGCTATTGCAAAAGAAGCAACGTGTATCTAAATTTATATTTACTATAATGTTTTATATTATGGGTTCTAGGTGATGCATTTGTTTGTATTTGTATTTGCAAGCGTGAAATAAACGTCTTCACCTTTACAAAAGACACTTAATAGTTTGTGTAACCGAAACATGAAGCACTGAGGCTTCTTGGTTACAATATGTTTCATAAAGTGCACAACTGTTCCGTAGCTTTCCCAAGTAGAACAAAGGCTTTCACATTTTACATACCCAAATTGCACGCTTATCTGTGGCCTCTAGGGCAGATTTTACAGATGTATTAGCTACTTATATTAGCTGACTCAAAAGACAACATATCTTTTCAGTAAATTTTAGTAAAATAAATCATTAATTTATATATTAGAACAAAATGAAAACCACAGTTTTTCAACTTATACATGCTGAAATATTTATAGAATTGAAAAAACTACATGTCAACTTTTACTTAAGAAAGCTCACAATTCTAAATCCTTACGTATGTGGGCTACTCACTAGTACTACTCTTCATTGGACTGTTCGTTATCTCGTGCGCACAATCTAATATAAAATCACTTATTTGTCTGAAACTAAAATTCTCACATTTAGGTCACCCTTAAATGAACAGCTCATACAACACATATGAAACAAGAATATTTATTATGAGCATATTTTTACTACTTCACTTGATGATATGAATGATTTAGGCGTGTTCACTTAGACTTGCATTGTATTGCAATTCGACTTGTTTTAAATATAGACAATTGAGACACATTATACTATTTGATTGCACTTTGGCATATATACTTCAACCTCAACAACTAATTTACATAGGCATAAATATCTTCTGCCCTCCGTATGAGTCGTTATTAGGTGTGCTATCTTACTGCAACCGCATCTATAGGAGAACAGCTTCAAACGCGACCATCACTAAGTAACACCTCATTCCATCATACAACATATAGTCTTAGGTTTTGTTTCGTACCATCAATCATTTCATTGGCCCTGCACTTGTTTACAGTTTCATCGTAGCTACCCCTCAATGTTGAACGCTCTGTACACGACCTCTTTATATTATGTATGACATGTCATTTCGATTGCTAACCCTATCACATAAGAATAAGCATTTACGTGGATAGCTTTAATTTGAGTAAATGACGAATTACATTATTCTTAGCTGGCACATACATTCGAAGTTAACGAGTCTTTTTTTTTATAGATAGTACTTTTTGTCACTGGCAGCCAGCCGTAGCCGAGATCATTGGTCACCACCTGAACAACCATTGCTAGAGAAGACGCCATCGGTGGCAACTGCTTTTTGTCGAACTCGGTCTAATACATATTGTGAACGCACTATCACGCACGTTTACACTTACAGTTTCAAGACAGCTGTAAATGTTTTTTACCCGCATTCCATAAGCTTCCATGTCATAATCATGTACAGGTTCGCGATGTCTTCGTATGCATAGGTCTAACATTTGTATATGTAAAAAAATCATCCATACATCTTATGACAATGCAAAGGCTTCTCGTGCTTACATTCCATTTTTCAAATCCGACGTTGATCTATAGAGGTAACCTATAGCCTAAATATCCATCAAAGCTGCGCAGGGGATCGCAATTACTGCTTGAGAGAACAACGTAAAAGAACACAAAGTCAACCTTTCTTCTCTCTAATAAAAATAATATACACAGTACAGAGTATCACTAGGTGCCGCGTATCAGTAAGTACAATAAAACTACTACTAGTCTAACCAATTTTTTTACCAGCTGAGCACTTCATTCGACTCTGTTGTGAAGAAGTGCTCTTATTCGTATGTACTTACTCTAATAAAATACATGAAATTCTAGGAAAACGCTTGAGAACGGGTAGGTGCACGCTAAGCTAAGTTACATTCTTTTGTTTTTTAGGTGAGAAACTTTATCATGAGCTTTCTATATATAGTTTTTATATCCCAATGAAAATACAACACATTGGAAAATGAAAAAGCAGATTGGATGAGATTTCAAAATATTCCCGCATATGTAACGTTGGCATTATACTCTACGTAGTTTCCGCGCAGTTATTGCATACTTCCGGGCACGTTTGGTATTTGTATACTAAATAACGCTTCGTCTCTGAATACTAGTAGCAATCCGCTAATCAATTTCTGCAGTTTTGAACAGAGCAACTTCGCTGTTCGCATAGGTCGCAACTGACAAGGATAAAGTGAGTAAAAATATAATTATCACTGCAGACAGTTCTGATAGACTTATTTTGTGTGGCATTCTAAATGAGGAAACAACGCTTTTCAACATCCTCCACAAAAAGTTACTTTTCAAAACTAATCAGGTCTGATTCTCTTGAACAGGCTTATAATATGGCTTTGGTTTAAGCAGTAATGGTCGCACATAGTTCACTTATAGCAGGCGATGGCTTCTGATAAAAAGAAACCTACAAAAGTGAAAACAGCTTATGAAGTATTAGTGCTTAGTACAGCAAATGCAGATAACGCGATACGATTTCGAGCCAGTTTTAATTCATCGCTTAGATTTAGGTAAACAAACCGGCCGATTTTCTCACGTAGGGTTCTTGTGTGACAACTAATTAATTAAGCATTAGCAGCAACTTCTACTTAATCAAAAGCGGACAGAGTTTAGTAATATACGCACCAAGTTATTAATAACTGCGCGCTAATTTATGGTTATTTTTTATTTTTATTTATTATTAATTTTTATTATTAAAAAACCATTACTGCATGAAATCAATTGCATTAACTCATCATTAATCAACGCTAACTCGATTGATAGATTAGGTTAGATGGAGCCATCGCAAGCAGGCATCTCCGGTCAACTTCAAACACTGACAATGTTAATGGTTACTGTACAGAAATAGTTGTAAAGCATTTAAGCCTAACGTTTATTGCAAGGAATTACAGTTGTAATTATATTCAGCCTAAGCCATAGCCCACAATGCAGTTCCTATCTAGTTAAGTACAAAATATAGTAATGTTTACAATCATACCGTATCACTTCATACTTGAAGGCAACATCGTGATGGTACATTATAACTTCTTTGGGTGTGAGAATGCGTAAATCGGTGCATTAAACATACAACCATCGCGACTATAAGGATTCATATGTCCGGCCCGTGGGGGATACCCCCGCTGGTGAAGTTGAACCATAATCAGGGTTTTGATTGTAGTACGGGCGCCCCTGACAGGTCCCAATTCGTACGACGAATAAGCAGCCATCCTAATAGACAATCAAATGCAAACAGAGAGAATCATGAACAAACCGAACCTAAGTCTACTTAACTCAATCATTATACACACACACTTAAAGTTCTTTTTAAATAAACAAAGTGGTACGCTTTTTTTGACTAATTATGAACATAAAGATTCAATGAAGCTAAGTACTAAAAACAGACCAGATACTGCATATAATAATTTTCAACAAATTATAGCAACTATTATCTAAATGATTATGAGATCTATTATAAATAATAATCTTATCCTAGAATGATTCGTGAAATGCCAATGTAAAAATTGTGACGATTAAAAAGCTCAACATGCGGTAATAGGCAGCAGTGATCCGCCTTCATTTAATGCTTTTCATATTTATCATGTTAATTTACGCTCGTAATTTCTATGCATGTGCATTTTTATTTTCATTGTATTGGCCACTACAGCTTAGCCGATAACCGATTGTTCGAAAGTGTATTTGTATTTGTAAGGAACCGTCATATATATATATAGAGATGCCAATTTACCGAATCTAAAGGCGGAATAGGTTTACTGTGAATCATTGTTTATTTCTTCAGCATAGCCAGTACTTGCACTACATGCATCCTAAACGTTTTAGTGGAAAATAATGACATACTAGGATACCCAAAGGTTTGAATGAATCTGTGCCTAGGTATCCTATGATAAAAAATACTCACGACAACATGATTTGGGAGATTTGTCCAGAACCAATGGTGAGGGAGTAGCTCAACGCCCCGTGCTCCATTCACATGTTTGTACACCGCACCTCCTCCAAAGTACAGAATTCCTATCACCAGAAGCCTATAGATGATACATATAATTTTGAATATTTTTATATAAAGATACCTTATAGAAGGCTCCATTGAACTACGAATTGTCATACTGAGTTCACACTTGAGCCTCGCCTCGGGATGTTTAAAGAATACTCGTTTGTCATTATTACTAGTCTCACGTTAGTCCTTAGATAATTTTTACTAAACTGACATACTAGTGTGCTTGTCAAAGGTACATCACCTGCATTTTCTAAATTGTTTTTTTAAAAAAATGTTTGTTCGATTTATTTTTTATGATGATAAAGCGTGGTCACATACATGGAAAAGAGCTGGCCACCTGGCCCCATTCTGCTGGGCTTTGACTCCGTCTGTTTGCAAGCGCCGGCGTACCGCACGACGAAATTGACCTAAAAATAACATATCCATATTCTTACTTTAATCGACGTTGATCTACCTTGAAAGTATGTGTGATTTGTTTATTTTAAATTTAGTAAGCAAGTAAATTATCGAGGCTTTCCCGCCATTACTTAATTAATTTTACACTTCATTACTATATATATTCACAAAAATGCGCTCAAGAATTGAAACAACAATAGAACAGATAACTGTGGCTATACAGCGTGACGATTAGGTCTAATTTATGTCCGATTTATTGCACAGTAGAAAATAACAGAATTTAGAACCGAGTATTTTACTTCAGGAAGATAAATTAATATTGTATACCCTTCAGGACAGTAAATTAATATTGTAGGCCCCTCAGAACCGAACGACTAACCAAAAATAATTTTTATCAAAAAAGCAGAGCTGTAAAATCATTCGTATCATAAAAAAAAATTAACAAAAAAAGGATTCATAATTTATAAATTAAAAACTCATATCAAGTGCAGATCCTTTCTTGGACGTCGCCCGTACGACTTCAACGATGACGCGTAACATGTGTATTTATTTACCCCATTCGCTACTTTTGGTATATCTGCAGTGAGTCTGGCGACTATAATTTTCTCGACTGCTCCTTGAGTTCCCCCAATGGTTTGCTTCGGGTCACATAAGAACTCAATGATCGTGTTCGTTGTTTTTGATGTATTATCATTGGATAGGTTAGCGACATAGACCACCTAAAACAAATATAAGATAAGCTTAAGGTGGGGAACAGAACTTTGAGGTATTTGTGAACTTCTGCAGACGCTTACACGAACGCAAGGGGTTCTTAAATACGATGTAATGTTCTGTTTCTAGCTCATCACTATTAAATATGGTCATACTGGTAAATAGTTTTTATTATTAATTTTCGTTAAACGCTTTTATAGCAAATACTAACAAATGGCTTCGTTTATTTAACTCATATCACGTGCGGAGTTCTATAATTTTTAAGGCTTTTTGTTTAAATATAGCTATTCTGTAATTCAAGTTAGCTTGTGGTTTTATGCCTGATATTTCATTACATTTACTTACATGGAAACGCTGATCATCAATCGAGCTCAAAGTGGGTGCGGTGTCACCCAGCACAGTTGTTTGATTTCCCTGTTTGACACAAGCGGTATTTGTGTTCGCGCACAGGTTAAAAAGCTCCCAATTATGGTGGCATATTGAGAATAAGTAAGTACAATATTCGTCTCTTTTGTTCGGACATTTTTCACCCTGCTCCTGAACGACCCAGATTGACCTGGTTCATAGTCAAACACAAATACAAAACTGAATACTGAAATTTGATACTGTCAAATATTGATATAAAAATACAAGCGCGTAAAACCACGTTCGCGTAATGGGTCAGGCGTCTTTGTTAAATGATACACATATGCCTTACGCCGCTTTACTTTTCTGTATTCTACGACTGTAGTGCAAGTTTTAAGGTCTCTAATTATACTTTTTTACATTTAATGTAAAACGCGGGTTGATCGCAATATGTTGCAAGTTTTGAACGGAAGCACATTTTAATTATCAAATGATATCGACTAGCCCAAAGCCACCACCAAGCGCTTACAGATTGTGCTTAATATTATCAATTCGTCTTCATTATCAAAGAAAGGACAATTATTATGTATAATCTCAGGTTAAATACCTAATGAGTTATATTAGATATATATATATCCAACATCGTTTTTGTAGTGCGCTACGCGTTCTCCACGTAGGCGCATTTTTCAACTCTTAAACGTTTCAACAAATTTTACACTCAATTCGCTCCTGATATGATGCGAACGTAGATTGAAATATCATTTCGAGCAAGGCCGCAATTACTCTTCGCATACGAAGCTCGCAGATCATAGGTTAAAATCTGGGTCAACAAATAATTTCTCAAATATATTAATCGATACAATGACTAGACAACTAGTAATATAACTCTTCACGCCAGGATATGGCGGATCTTTTAACCAATTTTAAAACAATCATCTAGACTGATTTTAAGAAACTGTACATCTACTGCTGCTAACTAGTTGAAGGACAGGTTCATTCGCCTTAAACAAAAAAAGCTGTCCATTTAAGCAGTGCTACAAAACTTCTTATTTATTCTCTAAATCACATAGAGGCCACGGTTTCTATTTCAAATAAATCATGTGCGTACAGTTTGTTCACTGAGCAGCCATAAATAAAAATTAACTCAATTTCTAGTGAAACGCTGGTATTTCTAATGGCAACAGTTTTAGGACCGTGTTAATCTAAATGCTTATGTTGTTGAATTTCGCTGAAATTAAGCTCAATTTTCATGCTATAGATATTGGAGCGAATCCACTTGTAAACATATAGTCAGATTCCCATAGACAGCTTCATGAGCCCAAATCAACGTGCTTGACACACCTGTTGATGCAATTAATTAGATTTCGAGATCGTAGTAACGCGTAGGAATATATAATAATCTCCTATACTGACGATGATATATACGTCAACGTTCAAGAGGCGAGTCTTCTCTCTTCAGGCAGGAAGAATCTCTAAGCGTAAGTAAAAGAAGAAGAGTTAAGACAATAGTTAGCTCTAGATATCACCATAGGTTGGATAAGGTAAAAGGAAGTACGGTTGCCACCATCAGTCGGAAATATGGTATATATTTTAAGTAAGCAAGAGTAGACTTGTCATCGAAGAGCCACGTAAAACATTACATCAGTGTTTATCTTTTGTAATAGAAATAATGTCGGCGTTGAGAAAAACACAAGTGAAGTTATACCATCTGTTTAGATAGCTTGAAAAAAACTGACAAGTAGGAACTGTTGTTCGCACTCGACTTCGGCAGTAGAGAGATAAAATTAATTTATTTCAATAAGATACAGAAATATTTTACTTGAGCGCAGTATAAAAGGCCAGTCCACAGAAAATACTTTTTAACAACAATTACAAAAAGGCGTTACATAACGTCGTCAAAAAAAACGCATAACAAAAGGACCAAACGTTTTTTAGCGAAAAAAAACGTTCGGTCCTCTTGTTGCGACTCTTTTGATGAAGCACTATATGCAGTAGTAGGACACGCATCACTCTGCGTATTTTTTCGCTTAATAACAGCCAATATCGGTTAAAATTATCTAATCAATACCACCGCCTCATTTTAGTCGAGCCCTAAAGTCCTATCGTAGAAGCAAACTACATTAACTTTAAAATGCCATAGCCAGACGATTTCAGTACCAGGTTCCACACGGCGTTTAGAATGGACCTGGAATAAAGCTTTTGTTATAGACTCAATAAAGGTAGCACACAACTACAACTCATAATTAGCATATCTAAACGTTGCTATTTTGAAAAACTCAATAAAATCGAATCATAAGCTGTTCTTCTTATTAATAAGTCCCGACAAACGACGCGGCTTGATTGTGCAGCGTGCGTTTCATGGCGTCGCCTGCAGAAAATAACCCACCGGTGCGCAAAGTTGACAGGCAAGGGAAAGCGTCTTGCGGTAGCAGTTGTCTCATATATATATATATATATATATATATATAGGTAAGATGCAGCAAAAACACCTTACTACTGCTGCATAGCCGGGATCCAAAGTTGCGTTGCTTGGATATAATTTTATTTAAATTAAGAGGAGACTCAATGTGCACTGCGATTCATATAGACGTGTTTAGTTGATCGTTTAGCAAAACCGATACATTTTTGTCGTATAGGCCGTGTGCGGCCTGACATGGCAAACACTGTAAGGCATCTGCACATCCACGACTGAATAAGAGAATAGAGTTACTACAATCATAGGATTATTATCTTTAGCTTATGCACGTTTGTAGTATTAAGTTTAAGTCGTTGGCGTAACGTCAAACACAAACTTTAACCCAGTAATGACTGATGAAATTATTTAATGGTAAAGTTATATATCAGTTCTAAACGAATAAGATTCTCCGTAGATCGTAGCTCAATATGATTTAGCGAGCTTTTGCCGGTATTCTATTGCCTGTACTGTTAGGGGGACTCGATGCTTTGAGATTGTCGACGAGTACCTGAAGATGAAGGTGTTGTTTGTGCAGGGTCGCTCAGAGCTTACAAACCGACATCATTGTTACGCAATTGGAGTATTTGCAGTGGATTTATCGCTGTGCATTAACGTCTAACCTTGCATGCGGATAATAAATGCAGAGTTGCCAAGACTGAAGAATCAAGCGATTACAAGCCTAAAGTGAATGTATTAAAGTGATATAAATGTTTCATTGCACATATTGACTACTCACTCGTCAACTTGGACTTAAATCTATAATCTGTGCAGATCTGTGAACGCCCCTTGCTGCGGACTGGAATCTCGAAATAAAGACACAACAGCTAGTAATTATCATCAGTTGTCTAGATTGATAGCACTTTATATTGATATTGATAATGTCTACTCTAATTAGCTGTTCTACTGGAGTCAATGCATGACTTGATAGTTTTGCATATAGCATAATTAGAATGTATCATACATTTACTCACCGGCTCCCAGGACCGCTGCATGTAGGTCATATTTTCTCGCAAATGCAGCTGTCTTACTCGATTTTTTATTGTATGTAGATTACTAGAATACATGCCTATTTGTAGCTGAGTAGGAAGGTTGTTGAATTATTAAATCAAAATCTAGTTTATCAAATGGAAAGATGAGAAATATGAATAAAATTAATATATTTTACGTAATATGGGCTCGTTGTACAAAACGAGACTTCTGTTCGATCATCTCCACAGTTATTATATCAATATTATATTTGCGAGAAAATTATCCTGCTTAGGCATGCATAATGTAAAGGAACTATATAAATTACTACTAACGGAACAAACGCATAATGCTCTTGCATTTTTCCTAAAATGTGTTTATTAAAAGCTAAACTCCAAATGACAAAAGCGTCCTATTCGTCGAATCGTTCGATAAAGAAAAACATATTGAACGGTCATTTAGAAACGCAACAGGTGTAGATATTTTCAGCATTTTTGCAACCATCATAAATATTACAGTAACCGTTATATATAAATATAAACCTGTGTCAGTTAGATCTATGCAACATGTCTTCATGCAACCGTATTTAGTTGCATGCTGTCCTCTTTTGTTTGCTTAGCGTCCATTTGGAGTTATGTATTAGTCGCTCAATTACTGGCGATTTGATTGGACTGACGACGAAGAACAGATTCGTTAACAAAATCGCACTTCATAAACAGATTCGGAAGCGACGCGTTGAATGATGACCAAACTATTATCCTCGCAAAGCAGCTTCAGAACTGAATACGCCTTTAGGTATCACACCTAAGAGTTGTTATTGTGTCCATAAGCACAGCACATTTTGTAGCTTTTAGTTGGCGCTTCGAAATATGATCATGAGGTGCACTGATTCAAACTCTGATCAAGCCCATATTGCTCTCTGATGTTGATTTGGAACTTACTTTGTCAGTGGCTCTATGTCGAATCCTTGAAGGGAGCATTGTTGAGTATTATCAGCGAGTGTTTGCGGAAAACCCAATACCAATGGGGTGCATAAGAGCACAACACAAGTCCACTTTGATTTTTCCATAATTGTCAGCCGATTAAATTTTTAAACTAGAAGATTAAATTTTGCGGAATATAAAGATCTCGTTAGAGGAAGTAGCTAGCAGGCTTGGCGTTATCTGAACGTTGTATCCAAACGCAAAAATCCTGAAACAAATATCTCTCCGTTTTCACATAATGGCGGCACCAGCGCGAGCGGGTGATACGTGCGCTGCCATCTTAGCATGGATGCATCGCGCTTTAACAAATACTCGTCGGGCGATCCAGTCACACGGACGACTGCGTGCGAGCCAATAATTTGCGTCAAAAAACAACTCCCTGCTATGATTTCGTGAATATGCTAGAAAAGAGGCAGCACTGTATGAATAATATGAGGTTAAGGTTATAATATCTATTAGATAGATGAAACTCTCTACAATGCAGCTGTCGTGAATCCTTTTGTCTCTCTGATCAGCTGTCACATTTTTGCAATGCCGTATTCTAGACAATATGTGTTTAAATGTAAAAGCCTAATTCTGACCGTACGCGTTGATTTACGTTCACTGCAGTTAACATTCATATCCGAGCATCTGCGTATTAAGGACGGTATTATTTATGTATCGGCTCAGTTCAATGTTGTAGTCTACTTGAAGCCGATTTTTAATTCTTTTAAGGCCTGCGTTGAAATTTGTTCATCCCGATGCTGCGGTAGAACTATGAAATAGCGTAAGAATTGTGTTCGGTGCAACCTAAAACCGTGCGAAGATCGGTTCGCACGTAAAAATTATCATGGCTGCCACACGAGCTTCAGTTGCGGTATAAATGAAAACAGGGTCCACAGGTTTTCCTACGACTTCATCAGATATTTGTTAGTCGTCTATATTGCGTTGCACATTTGAATCGAATGATGTTTCTCACTTTGATATGACAAGATGATTTTGGCTCATACACGGATGTTTTCACAGTAGCTAATCTTAGTAGGGCAAACATTTGTTTAGCGGCGTCTAGTACTACCTGGCCAGAGTTGCATGCGCGACATTTGCATAGTACTGTGGAGTGGTTCAGTGATATAGCATACTACCCAACGGATTAATTGTATGCACATATATCCTGCATAACTATCACTCGATCGAAAAATTTCGTCTATATCTAACGTCTAAAATCCGTTAGATATTTTGTGCGAAGTTGTATTTAGACAGCACCCGCCAAATCAGATTTTTACAGGATGCTTGTACAATTGCAATAAACACATACATGCTTTGCAATGGAAGCAAAAGTCTAGCCACATCGTTGCTGATGCTAGCATGTTCTTAAGTTCAAAACAAACAAGCCCATAATCAAAAGTGCGCACAGCGGACTCTCTCGAGCAACCTGAAGACGCGAGAAGATAAAAGTGATCGCTCGTTTGCGAAAGCATCAGCATGATAGTAACAGAAACGACAGTAAAGCGAGTTGTGTGTTGGGAAAGAGGTGATTCAATACTACGCAGCATGCTGAGGCGCAAATAAACGCCCATATGGACTATTACACTGGATATAAGCTTGTTCTAAACTCTGTAGCTTATCGCCTTCTACAATAAGAATCAGCATACAACAAAAGCATAGAAAACCATTTTATGAACAGGTACTCTCGCCTGTTCGATTGATCATAATTTGCTATAATAAAGTAATTGCTGAGAGCAGCTAGAGTTTTTCTAATCTAATGTCTGTGTGTCGTTGATGCCCACCTTATTCAATCTTCGTGTAACATGTGCAAATCTGTATAGGGAAAAGCTTTTCTGAAGCGAACAATCGATGCTCGCATTGTTGCTTCACGCAATATATGTAATCTGTTCAACTGTACAGAAAACAAAGTTATCCTTATATGAGATCGACTTGAATTTGAAGCTTCTTCATAACATCACCTGCCGAATTGAAATTAAAGACTACCAACAAATAAATCTTCCCTCATACGCTGACGATCTTAAACAATCTATCACGGCTGATATAGTCTTAAATGGGCCCCAACTATCTTTCAGAAATTGCAATCTCGGATTTGAAGTGAGTTTAAGAAACGTAAACGCGATGAACTAGATGAACGTACTTGGAAATTACCTTGATGTACAGTAGACGGCCATATTACCCAAAAGATTGTAAAGGGCGACGATAACAACCATTACGATGGAGGGCGCGCATAAGTTTTAGCCAGAAATACGTTAGGCCTCAACTTCAACTTGAACGCCATACGTAATTTGGACACGCTTCGCAGGCAACTAAATTGCCAGTCTCGAATTCACCCTCCTTGGATTCTATGATTTATCGAGAAACTGACTTATCTACTCGTTCTGCGGTACGCCACTACTAACCAAACAGCTGAGTCGAGGGTTTGACGTGAATATAACAGAGGAGTAAAATTAGTTTATGGGTGAACATGAATAAAAAGGAAATAAATAGATTATAATTTCTGGTGAAGTAAAGCTTTCATAGATTTAAGCTGGAGGTGACACAACTAACCAATGCTTCGTTACTAAAAACGCAGTTTACTAATAGTTGCCAGACGTCCGAACATCACCATCTGGAGGCACGTAATGACACGCAGGATGTCGCACCTAATATCACGCAGAGCACTGTTCTGTCGGCTCGTTCTCTTTAGTCACCTATATTTATGTCTTAGCATGTTAAGAAGTGACCGTTAATAAAAAAAGGCTTGCTTTTACTATTTACACGGGTTACTCGTATCATTATACATTATCGCCTAATTTTTGTGTTTGTTGTCGTTTCACATGTGTGAGGTGACAGGCTAATAAAAAAAAAGTATTAACTAAATTACAGCCCATGTTTTTTTCCTAATTTAATAAAACGACGGGGACTATACATTTAAGAATGATTCGAGCATTGTTGTTGATCACTATGTGATTTTGATGATTGTATACTACACGTTGTTCCCAAAGCTCTTTTAGCAAACGATGTTGCAAATATATAATGGCAGCAAAGTTCTCTGTATCTTTCGAATATTCGCTGTTCTCTTTCCGTTTCGAGCGTTTGAAAAGGACTCAATTTTTTTTTCTGCAAATGCACCCCTTATGTATATATGCGCATAAAAAATTATATATTGCTTGGAAATATTCAGATTCAGCACGCTTGCATAAGAGTAAAACAAGTTTAAACGATAGGGGTGTGAGTACGGTCGTTAAGCGCATTCCGTTTACCTTCATTCCTGACAAAGGTTAGCCTCAAGCAATTTTTGTTTCCTCAGCCTCGCCGTCGCTTCGACGGAATTTGAAGTCTCAGGGATCCTACTTGCCATTAGCTTCCTGGCTGTGTTGCATTTCCACTTAGTAAGCAGGCAACTGCTGCCGCCATATATTTATGTCCACGGCCGTGGACGCCTGGGCAAACATTCGCTGATTATGAGGCGGCAGTGAGATGGTGAACGAAAACACGACGGTCCTTCAAAGTTCACAGTATTAGAGCCGATGAAGAATTGTCGTCACGGCCAATTAGTCCAATACCCGCTTTTGGGTTGTTCACAGATGAATCGTGCGAACGAAGGACAAAAGGAGCCGACATCTTAGCGAATTTCCTGCTAAACACTCAGTTGAAATGTCCACCAAACGATTGTCCCTCTCGGCGTTTTGTCTGGGTGCCTGGACAGCGTTATGGGCTCAAAGCCTGGTCCATCTCCATAGGACTGAAGCCTTGAATCCGTTGCAGTTCGATGCTGGAAAAGTACGAACATGAAACTTTGTAACGATCAATTTTTAGCAATAGATCAACCAATTAAGCCTCATCGATTCAGATGACAAGTGAAAATTGTGTGCCATAACAGTTCGAAACCATTATCGATCAGCATTGAAAAGCTAACCGTATCGTTGACGATGGTTAACTGGCAAATTATTCCGCACTTGTTTATTCGTGATGAGCCTGTTTTTATACTATTACTCGAAGTCTGTTAAAAACAAGTCAATTTAGCACATATCGGTGTATACTATGGACGTGTCTGAAAGGCTACACATTTCGCTAGGCAAATCATCTAAATATACGAGTTATTTAGTAATGTTTCGATAACGACAGGGTGTGAGTGGCCATTTCAAATATACGTTTGTTGTTGCAGAGAAATCGAATTTGTCAAATTAAATCTTGCACACTCACTATATTGGTGTTGTAGCCGGCGTATAGCTAGCTTCTCAGTAATTGTGTATTTCAAAGACACCCTTTAAGCGCCTGCTCTTACCTCAGTAGCGCATAAACAACAGCTTCTATGGTCATTTCATTATATAGATATTGGGTGTATTGGAAATACATACCGTAAACGATCTCTTCTCTCTAGAGCAGTACGAGACCGGAAAGTTAGATGTGAGACGGGAGTACATGTGAATGTTTATGGGTATGGCAAATGTGTGCGCGTATTGGTGTCGCTTCCAAGCCGTTTTACTGGTTCAGACAGATAGTTTCGCAACAACACGCCTTGATCGACAAACTGACGCTAAAGATTTCCGCTTTTTTTACAGATAATCCATGATGCTGAGGACATACTCATTGGCTATTCCAAGTATCTGTGGGCAACTGGCATATCCCGCAAATGCTCCAGAGCTGTTCGACACACGATCAAGAGTGCATTCCGACTTGAGCCTTGGTCACTTGCTTGTGAGTAACGTACCGAAAATCATCTCAGTAAGGGAACATCCTTCAAGTGGAGTTATTCATCTGTGAAACGCCATTGGTGCTAACAGCTAAAATCGTCTTCGAGCTCAAAGAACATAATGTTGAGCTTTCTCTTTATGCACGAAACATGCATAGTCCATTCCAACGTATGAACTTAGGGAAAAGGTTATATGATGGATTCCCGGTTAAAATTTAAGCGTCCCCCAAATTTCGACGTCCTTAAAACGAAGAACTGAATCGAGGCTGATATGACTAGTTTACGTAATGCTTACGTAAGTAACAAGTCCATAAACGTTAGACTTTACTGGAATGTGACATATTTGCTCAAAATAATTAGCTAGGTTCCAAGTTCATGGCAAAGTGGCGTTTAGAAACAAAAATTCATAGCTAATTTTCATTTATATATTATACAGGATTTGCGATGGGGGTGTACGAGAGCGGCTGATTCAGTTGAGAAGTTGTTGATAAGAGAAAACTATTTCAACAGCTGGCCTTTTTTTTTTTACAGGCTGGCCGCGATGGGCCTTGGGCATTTTTGCGAATGTAAAACAATCAATATCGTCTCGTCATCACGAATGGAAAAAGAAACCTAATCAATTCAAAGTTATCGGAGATGGCCGTTTGCACACATTGCTTCAGGTCTCTAACTAACAGCTAAGAATATAAATAAGTGCACTTGTTCTATTTCAGTGGTCGACTCTCTCGGAAAGATCCCATCAGGTGTTCTTATGGGTGGTATCAGTATGATGGGCGATTATGAAGAATGTCTTCAGGTATGTACTCCATGTACCAAATTTGATTTCTAGTGTATTTTCCTGCTGTTACCGCTTATGAACCGGAAGGATTTCAGATTTTAACATCAATGAACTCTTTTTCCTGGGCGATTAGTAGGAATTATTACATCGGGCCTGAAAAACAACAACCCTCTAACAGAATATTGTATAAGCTGTTGGTTCCATTTCAAGCTAATGCTAATAAATTTGTCGCATTCTATACCGAATGATTTTGAATTACGTTTTATAACCACTTTGAATATTATTTTGTTGAGAGCCAGCTCCCAATCAGTCGCCTAATCGACGTCTTTTATAGAAGGTAGTGGCCTGGAGAGTTTGGACCTCTACTAAATTTATTTATTTACTATAATACGTTAAACACGGTAAAATGTACAACAGCATTGTCTCTCGTCGTCAATTTTTATTGATATACATCTATGATGCGTGAAGACATTTACCATATGTTTCGAAATTGCGCTGTCAAAATAAAATCGAAGGTACCATGTGGTCATGGTGTCAAGATTCGTGGATAAAAAAAACACACTTCAAAAACGTATGTTGTGTTTCAAATAGATATTAAAAAATAAGCTACTGTTTGTAGCATCACAATGATTACTGATTTTAAATCTTCATGAGGCAGAGCCTTGCAAAGCCCTATCCGGAATTATTTATGGTCATTTCTAAGAAATCGATTTTTCTGAAATTATGCAATGAAAAGACACTCGTGCTGCGAAGCAATAGGTAACCTTTAGTTTGGCGTTTTGGAAAAGCCAAGTAGTGGGAAACCAAGACTATTGTACCTTTGGTATATGAAAACAAGCTTATGATCTACAATGGGGAATTTTTCAAGTCTCCCTTTTTTTCACTGAGAAATCTACTCGTTAACGTTTTTGTTAGCGATACTTTATAGTTTTATGTAGACCTCAAAGTAGATGATTACCACGAAAAGTTTAAGTGCTATGTCAGCATATGAGAGGCATTAATAAATATTATTTTTACTCATACCTGACGTTAATAGGAAATCTTGAACCTGTTACAGGTATACACCCATATGGATAATGAAACATCTCCATTTCGTAACGGCAGTGTTCCCTATATATCTGGAAGGTAAGCCTTAAATGATGCAATATATTCAGGGGTGACAGTGGACATCTAGTCAGGACCGAACATCAACGAAAGTATAAGAGGAACCAATACAAAAATCGTTATACACGATTTTTGTAATTAATATTTATAGAAATCGAGCTCAGTTATTTAGAAAAATGTTCATCAATTCATATTGACTTCCATGAAGCCTTTTGGCGAACTGCATTTTTAATTAATGTCTGTAGAGTAATTAGCATCGCCGAAATAGATCTGACGCTTGCGCAATATGTTAGTGGAGATCGAGCACTACCGAAAACCAGCCCCGATTACCAAGGTATATTAAGAGATGCCCAATGTAGTTCAACCTACTAAATGTACAGCTCAGATAAAAATAAGTAAGTATTCTTTCTGCATGTTTATATTAGTGTAACTGCGAAACTGCACATAATTCAGTGCAATAATTCAGTGAAACCGTTGCTATTTTCTAAAATGGTTTAGTGATATTTATCTGTTTTTAGACGCAAAACAATCCTCTTTTATTAGAATTGAAAAAAAAATTGCTTTTTGCAATAGTTAACAATAGAAATTCGGTATGAAACCTGTTAACTGTGATTTATCGTCAAGGCTGTTCACCGCATGCTCCCTGAAGGTCATCCATTAAACACTGTTTTGGCCTGTCGCGACGTTTTCAATGAATCAGAGAAGGTGAAAGTAGGAAATTCGATGTCACGGTTGTTCTTAAAGGGTCTAGCTGAGATATTATCCTGTTATTTCTATTATCCCTATTATCACTCTTGAGAATAGGATGCATATGGATATTTTGAGATCACTTGAGACCTCGCGATGGTGCAAGCAATGACACTTGGGACAGGCGAACGCCTGACTATCATAGAGATTTGCTCCCTTAGCAAGTCGTCACGATTCTCGTATAGCTGTATAGCCGCGCTAGTTATTCAACAACCTGGGTGTATATACCGAATTAAGCCGTTATGCACAAACAGACCCCTGGTCAATGCCTTACGTGCCTGGCACATATGTGCAATACTATCTGGCAATACGGTTCTTTGCCTATCTATAGAGGTTATAAAAGACTCCAATTAGTCCTAATTCGCGCCATTAAATAGCGTGCAAATGATGTTGACTAGTCCTGATGCTATATAGAGTTAGTATGCATGGGACGTATGTGTAAATCGTAAGGGAAATGTTTCATGATTTTTTTTTCTTTTCCAATCTAACTATTCAGATATTGCGGAGTAAAAGCAACGCTAGATGGTGAATATTGGCTACGACGCTACACAAACAGAAGCTCCTCGATGAGTAACGCCACTCGAGCTATTATAGAATATTTCCTACAGAACGAAGTGAGTTACTTTGAAGTTCTATTCTTACTAATACTAAGACGACGAATCTGTGTGGTACTGTGAAGAGTGCAAGATGGGTATTCGCATATTTTTTTTAAAAATATAAAAACATTTAAAAATTAGTATTGTCTATAAAAATATACTATATTACGCACATTGGTTAAAATAACGTGACCACGTTGATGGCGTAGGTAGGAATTTGACGTCTATAGCAGGAAATTGGCGTTATATCTGAAAAAGCTTTGAGGAGCTTAATTTTTACCATAAATTAAACTAATATCTTAGTGAAATAGCCTCAGACGCTTTCAAATAATTATTTTTCTCACAAATTCTGAGAAAACAGATGAAAAATGTATTAGGCGATATTTTATTGTGTTGTGAATTTGTACATCTTTACCTCTATTATGTGTCCTCTGGTATGAACGAGGCAAATTGATAAGTCTAGCGGTTCAAAACCCTGGTCAAATTTTCGATGAAAGGACCTCAAAGATACAAAAACCATGTAGTCCTAACCACACAACGAATCGTAATACTTAGATAAATGTAAGGCTCTTCCGAAGTCCCTAGCATGCTTCGTAACTAGCAAGAACATGATCATTTAAAATTTTCTCCAGGTAATTTATGGACACAGACAAAACAAACATCGAACAGCGATAACAATAATTAAAGTTATCACTCCAGTTATAGTCTCAAGTCGCCTGAGTAATTGTTAATGCCAACTGGCACTTATCATATCAGGGGGGGGGGGGGGGGGGGGTGAATATATCGTTCCTAGTAACCATACGGAGTTACATATTTATTGTACGGTTGGAGCACTACGCAGCAAGTGGTGTCTAAATATACCTTTGCAGGTTGACCTTATCTATGAGATAACCCGGATGATCGATGAATTACCAGGTTTTATCGGACTCTGCTTTCCTTCCGCCTGTAGCCGCAGGGACGTTTCAAAATTCTTCAACTTTAGTAGGTAATCTCTAACCACTGTATTATTACGTACTAAGCAATCAGTTACAGGTCAGTGAAACAGGTTTAATAACAATATGTCCCAATGAAGGGGCTTGGTACATAAGCTGTGGGTTAAATAAACGACAAACATTTACGAACGAAACCCAACATTAAATACTGAGCACAGGTACGGACGACGTGCGTCATTTTAACCGGCTGCCTGAAAAATCGTAACTAATAATTGAACACACCATTGCCGGAGGTTCGGAACGCACGAAACCTTACTCGTGTAGAACGTATAATAACATAAAAGTAACTGATTGCACATCGTCAAACCAAAAGCAGATCGGCAAACGTCGTCGTTTGTAAAGCGACTTATAACTGATTTAAATAGCATAGTTATTTTGTACGGCATATACATATCTTTCCAATGGAGCGATTTGAGCGCATGGTCTCCATCCTTACATCAAAGTACTCTATTTCAGCATTTGTAAGGACGTTAACGTGTTATAAATTTATTACTGTCAAATTTTTGTCCCAAAGTGACTCCTGTTCTACGAGCATTTCTGGCGATTAGCGTAAACTTCACTGTTGGATCTTGCGAGACCCGAGAAGATATCAATAATCGTCCTATACCAGATACAGCCATAATGTTCCTGTGAGTTGTAAATCGTTAGGATTGCTTATCTCCAAAAACCATTTGTATACATAGAGAACTAAAGAAATTAATTGAAAGTGTCTGGTCTTCGTAGAATCATAGCACCTATTAAAATAACATGATTTAAGCGGACGTCGGATATATATATATATATATATGTAGAGAGAGAGGAGAGAGAGAGAGGGGAGAGAGAGAGGAGGGAAAGAAAGGGAGAGACAGACTGAGAGAGAGAGGGGGGAGAGAGCTTATTAGACGAACGTCCGATTTGGTGCAGTACAAGATAACTCCACTTTGACAAGACATAATTCCTGGATACATTTTTCTATAAACACTTTTCTATATAAGAACATCCACAAATTAAGCAAATTGAGAATGTTCACTGCGACTTTTAAAATTCTATTTTCAGGTGTTTCGTTGTGCTTCTTTGTTGCTTTTGCATATTCGGCACAATCAGTGATTACATGTCAACTAAGAATAATTCAAGTTAGTAATATTTATTGACCGTTATAGGGTATTCCTTAGAATAAACTTTCCTTTCAGCGATTTGAAAATTTTCTGAAATTCAAGACGAAATTGGACCATCTATCTTTTGGCTATCGCATATATATATATATATATATATATATATATATATATATACACCTAATGGATAGCACTTAGTGGTTTATGTCGCGCAAAACGAAGGTCGCGCGTACGCGTGTGCCAGAATGATGATTTCCTACACATACGGCGTTTGTTCAAATGGGCAATTTGTCTCCTTTCTTCCATGTCTCACTTGTGCTGTTTTACTGTGCGAAAGGTATATTTGTATTTGCTATCTCCCTAGTACGGGTCCTAAATGATCACTAACTGCATATGCATTCGATCGAATTTAAGAGCCTTAAAGGCCCGATATTAGATTGACGGCCCTATTCGTCATACCCCATCCGTTGTATGAAACTATTCAGTAGTGGAACACAAACATCATGCGACAGTACAGTTAGCCTAAAAGATAACTCAGGTATCGATAAATATTATTTGTGCTGATGACTACGTTGTCAATAGCGAAATCTACAAAGGCAACTGTTCGACTCAGGGTACATTCTCTCATTGTTAATGATGCTGTAGAATCTGATCAGTAGCTGCCCTAACTAAGCAGGACCAGCTTGAGGAATCTGCCTTTCTCCCGATATTAGAACTTATACAATGAAAGCTATGGAGATTGCACGATACAACAGTCAATAGGCATAGTTTGGAGAAGAATCTTCAACGAGCTTGATATTATCGGCTCAATAAAAAAGTAGAGGGCTCTAGACAGGAGCAGGACACCAGTCCTGTAAGTATGCGCCCTTAAGCTGCTTCCAGAAATGATTAGAGAGTCTCTGTTGATAGCGACATCCTTTAGAAAACTACCGAACTAACAGAATCCTGTTTCGGTAGTTCTGGTTATTACGGGTAGAAACACCTTCGGTTTACCGCCGAACAGAGTATGTGCAGGACACAGAGCTCTCGCATCTCTCGTAGCAGTTCTAATAGTCGAGAGGTATCGGCTATTAATCATGTCTGAGGTCCTAATTTTCTAAAGCGAAGGACATTTCTTTTAAAAATTTATCTGAAAGGCGTTTTTATTGGTCGAACAAGCCTTCTTCCTTCTGTAAAAAAAAACTCCTACGATGTCACGAATCTGCTCAATTCAATAAGAACTCACTTGCCTTTAATATGCAGAAAAATTGACTGCAAAAAGTTCCCCTGCAGTCTGTTTAAGCGTTTGCGTATTGTCGGAGATGAACTTAGTTACTTCTAGGGATCTATTCAAATATCCAATATTTAATGCCAATAGGAACTTAATCGAGCTTGAATCCAGTGCCAATTCCAGTTCGACCGCTTATGCCCCTACACACAGCGTTATAGCTTCTCACCTTTGACCCGTTGTCTTTCTGATGCCATATTGTCTTAGCAAAATCGACACCAATAAACGAAAAAAGCGAGCTTTACTGAATTCGAAACGAAAGTTTAGCCTTGAATTTTCGCCATACCCTGCAGTCTGCCAAAACCTTTTTTTAACTGTCTTGCGTGCGTGCAGCACCAAAATGCCGATTTCTGATGATGGCTAGTGTAATCCATTAGTCACTGTACAAGCTCTTATTAAGTGAATCAAACTTGTCAGCAAACGTAGAAATGCGTCGTCGAAGACAGAATGGCGTTGTTTAGCGAACCATTTTTCCACTTTCTAAGTGTAAATGGCTGCGAATGATGCGTGTTTTATCCACAAAAAAGATACTTATTCATAGGCACGATCTTTCTTTGAAATGTTTTTTGGGGAAAAATCTTCTCAAAATGTTTCTGATTTAGCATGAAAACAAAGGTGCTGGACATTTTTTGTATAGGGTATCAACATTCTTCACAAACTCGTACCCGTTAATGGATCCTGAATCGAACGGTATGATAATGCTGCTACGACTTCTGTCAATGAAACGCATTATGCAAGCTATCAACTTCATAAGTTTTTCTATCTATATATGGTTGAAATAGGTTTGCATCAGCTAAGCTAGCTTTTGCGGTACCAACACATAGTGTGGATAGCATATTGGCAGACGGTCTGCGTTCAGACGTAAGACGTTGTACGACTGTATTCGTGTCTATCACACATATCGATGCAGGCTCGCTTTGTTCGTTCTACGGAGGCGGCCAAATGGCCAGAGCTTTCAGGAGATATACTCTGGCTTAGCCGGGTATATCTGCCGGGTTTTTGCTTGACCCCACATATAGCCAAAAAGGCAAAGGTTATAATTATTGGATTTCAGTTTTTCTGCTGGTTATAAAAGTTTTCTAAGGGCGTTTTCTAAAGGTGCATTGCGAATCTAACCAAGAACTATAGAATTGTCATAGTAATAAGTCGTTTCGTTGGTGTGCTTAACCTTTTGCCAATGGCACAAACAACATCATGAAGTTCCACCCAATAGGGTCGGAGGGCATACTTGAATTTTTCACAACTATTTGAACAGGTAAAGAGTGAGCATGTTGCTATTCTTTTCTCGGAATAGTTATTTCAATAAACACATTCTGTTTATATTTCTGGATCTCCGTGTCGACTGCTTTCCAAACCTTCGTGTTCCTCCCTGTAAAAGAGAAATGCTTTAACCCATGCAGTGCAGTATTTTGGCCATCTCCAAAAAACTTGCTTCTCTTAAATAAGAGGCTTAGCACATAACAATCTGATGATAACCTATAAATTAACTCCGCGAAACGTCTCGAAACCCGGTTATATCTGTGACTTTCTTTTTACTGGACATATACCTATAGTTTCCATATTTCAAAGAAAATCAACGTCGGATTTAAATTGCTACGTAGCTTTAAGCTTAGACGGGACTATCCCACTACAGACTGCTGGATTGTCGATGCCAGGTCGTAGCGCCCGTGGTGGTTCGCAGTGGTGCCTCGACCGAATAACCCTTCTTACCATTATGGATTACCCATTTCATGGGCGTCTTCTTACCACTATGTCGCTCCACTGCTATCCTTTACTGGTGTGGAATAAAGGCACGAAATCCGTACCAACTAGAATGTCAATTTTAAGAAAAAGGTCACCTTTGATATGATCAACGACGGGTTTGAGGCTCAACGTGTCGGTGATAAATGAAGTAACAGCTCAAAATATTTCCGGAACCTTTTATGTTAACTGGAACTTAACCGTGGTTGGAATGGAAACGTTATGGCGGTCGTGTTGGTCTACTTGGAATACGCTACCCTAAGATTAAGACATCTAGTAATTTCTAGCCTATTTTATGAAAGAGAAACGTCGAGGTAAGGAAGTTTGGTGTTCCTGTATCAAACAGTGCTCCGAAAATTATTTGCTTATCGTTGTCGATAATCCAAACTAGATTTGTCTGTAGCAATTGAAAATTAATTCTGTTATTTATATTTTCACAGCACTGACCATTGATCCTGCCAACAGTGGAGTCAAGCTTGTATTTTTTGGACCACGTTACTTTAGCTACACGACATTTGTTAGCGGAATAGCTTATTTTTAGATATTTGCCGCCTAGATATTTTTAGATATTTGTCGACCTGTTGACATTTTTTTTTTTTCATATTTTCTACTAATATAATTTTTGTTGCAGAATATTCATTTAATTAGGAATAATGTTCACTACAATTTTTTAGCAATGTCCGCTCACTATTGGATAGCTGCCTAATACTGTTAAGTATATGAGATGACCAGGGCGCCATTGTAGCTAATACCAAATACATAATCTAGTTCTACTAAGAATAGGGAAGTTAACCTATCTTTGTCTCTGACCAGCTATTTGAACCTTTCTCTATATAATAAAGGTGAAAGTCCTATTTGTCAACGACTACCAGAGCCTTTACGTTTAAGTTAAACGCGGCTACGAAGTGTTGCAAAGGCGTAGACATCGATCACGATAGATGCATAAACTCCCTAAGCTTTCTGCTATGTTCTTCTGTTGCGGCTTTTTCTTACCGGATTCTACATAGACTATATAGAACTGCTCTAACGCGATGCTTAGCTGAACAATCTCTCGGGCTGCGGCACCGGCTAGTTTTCGTAAAAGCTTTTTAATCGGTTCGAAGTGCTCTTCGCTCAATACGTACAAATCGAATAGCTATATAATTGCGTTAACTTTTCTAATTTCCCTGGTAAAATATGGCGTCCTGTTGAATAACCACTACTTCTTGGGTAAGCTGTCGCAAGCATCCCAGTGGTCGCAAAAGAATCAGGCGTTTTAGTCGTTGAAGTTTATAAGGATTGGCGCGACTGGAGAAACAGATTAGTTGGGAACTGCCATAGCGCTACTGTAGTTTATTTTTGGTATTTACACCCAACATCTACAAATGTTGCATATATTTTGTCACCATACCGGATTGCATACTCGATAGTGCATTCAGCTCTATCCTGTTGACCACGTGCCGATTCCATGATTTTATTTTGTCCACTGTTCTGTTTTTAATGACTGTTAACTACACACCTACTATTCAACCAGAATAACGAGGGTTAATTAAGTGTTGAGACTTCAGTAAGGTGAAGATTCGGTATAAAACCGACGCCTTCTGTTCGTCTCAGTTCTGACACCCTCCAATGAAAGGTTCTTGTGATACTTATAAAAAAGTATACTATTTTTTTTATTAAGAAATCGGTTTATGGTTATTTTGTATATGTTAAAAGGCACTTGAACATTATGAAAAATACAAGTGACATATTTAAGTCTCAGATCTTCTTTGAAGACATTCAGCGTTGAAGCACTGATATAAGTCGTTCAGGTAACACGAGATTGCTACTCACGTCCAATGAATTCCGACCGCAAATTTTAACATACAACACAGGATTACATTAATTAATTCATTTCGATTGGCGTTGAGAAACATATCTAACCTAATAGCTGCTTTGGACATATTTGAGATGAAGGAAAATAGGCCTAGGTTGCAAAATAAATTGTTCACACAAACGACTTGTGACATTGCAGAACCTTAGAGTAAAGGCAAGATTTACACAATTTTGGTAAGGAATACAAATGAAATTATTTATATCTCGGCTTGATTATAGCAACAACTACACAGTCGTCATCAGGTCAGAATCCGATCTATGTGAGTCACACTTACATTGTCGTAATTGTTGCTTTTGTTATGAAAGAAAATTACGTATCACTACGAGTGACGTCTGCCTAACGTTCTGCGCTTCAGACAACGGTTTAGCGTGACGATCGTTAAGATGTTTGAACGACCTCTAAATTCAGTTTTAATATTTGTCTAGAATCACACAGCTTGACCGGCCACAAAGATAGCTGCGCATACGTTGTTCAAGCATTACGATTACTGAATATATAGCTAGTCTATGGGAAGATACATGCAGATTGTCCCAATAACGGATTCTCGATCTATCCTTTTTAAGGCTGATTCCAGTGCACGCCTGATAATAACATTCTCCTACATCAATAGAATAACGGCTAGCTTTATATCGTTTTAGACAAAAGGGAGCTACGCACATGTAAAAATGTTGCCCGTTATTTTCGTTTTTCGAGTTTCAAGACCTAGCTACTTCTTGACGTTAAAGCATTGAGTAGTCAGCTGTAACACATGCGGTTTCTTATCGTTTATTTTAAGAAGTGATGTCCGTGGTCCGTTGTTTCTCAGTACGAGCCAACTATGCCAGCCTTTGGCGGGAAGAGGCATGCCCACTTCGGCGAATGTTACATGGACTCAGAGGCATGGCTGTAGTCTGGTTCATTACCGGAAACTTTGTCTATCTTCATTCAGTGATGCTGACGAGGAACATGCTCCTCTTAAAGGACATGATCAAAGTACGTAAAGTCCCTGGTATTCATATAATAATAAAGTCTATTATTATTCGCAGGGTGTTCAGAGAACGTTGAATGCGCGCTTAGCCGTAGACTCACCTCGTATCTATATAAATGATTCATTATCCGGAAGAGGATTTGGATAGCTGGTTGAACCTCGGCGTTCTCAAGACTGTTTGATTTTAAAAATTATTAGGGTTTAAAAAAAGGTAGGTCAGGTGGTGGAGGCTGCCACTTCGCAACATTGAATGTCAGTGTTAATTAGTTTAAAATGGTCATACGAATACAGAACTATATTAGGGATCTATAGGAACCTATGTACTTCGGGCATACATATATGCAGCAGAACTTTATTCAATGCGAACTTAACAGAGAAATTGAAGAAGTTACTTTGCTTCTAGGTACAATTCGAGCTAGTGTGCATACATTAGGTTGATTGAAAGTTTCGTTCTTTACGAGCAGTTTACACTATTCGAGAACACTATCTTTTCTTGACAGATTTTAACCTCGTTACGTGGTGAAACAAACGCTATTTCGGATTCAGACTCGAAAACTATCTCTGTTGGCAGGGAACGCTGCGGGTACCTATAGTCTTTCCGAGGACAAAATGCTACCGAAGTAGCTCGAGATATTTATGTCGTGTACGCAGAAGACACTATACTTGAGATATCTGCTCAGCAGTGCTCTCCTAAAGTTAGTCTCCATTTTGAACGTGGAAGTTCGCCTCGGTCGGCCATGCCGAGACTGATGAAAGGTGGCTTGTTAATAAGCTAAGAGCATGGGCTATAAGCTTTCTCACGATCAAAACACCTTGTCTGGAATTAAGAAGCGTGCGGTTGCAATCAAGGACTCCTACACAGAATTGTTGTCGGTGACAAAAGGCAGGGTCTACACGTCGATGTGACGTAGAGAAGAAAATAAATATTTTTGGGGGATGTGCTTATGGCCAGAGTTAAGCTAAGCTTCCATTCGAAGAAAGCTACCATTTGCACTCGATAGAACTAGAAAGATATTGGACAGTGCTTTGACCGGATTACATCGAATGAACAAACCTATCCAGTAAAAGAGGTCCGATAGGAAAGGCAAAGTCATCTATCTTTCTCTACCTGCCATGTCAGGTAAATATGACAAAGGACGTTAAAGTTCTCCTGCTAGAACTTCAGTGAGAGGCCCTTTTGCATCCGCTATACTCTCTAGGCTTCGCGTTAACATATTATCGCCTTTTTCGATGAGTGGAGGATGAAATTAGGGGCGGATCTTAAGAACTGGCTTGACGACTTCGTCACATTAGACATAAACATCTCGGATGGGACGAGTGAATTAACTACTCACAAAATAGCGCTCACGAATACTTAACACATTAATTGGGGCAGGAACTAAGTACCAACTAAAAATGTGGGGCGCGAAAGATGATTTTAAACGTCACACTGTTAAGAATCTTACGTGAGAGGAAGGGATATATTCTGGGCGAACGAGACTGCTATCAATGCTACCCTGATGGACATACGGGAAGGATGCGTGGCCATGAGGCCGAGTACGCTCAGTTCCTAACTCCCGTTGCTGCGTTTTTGTTAGGTGCAGAAACTGACATTTCGACTAACCTAATATTTACAAGATGTATGTATTTCTATGGGATTTTTCTTTCATTTTAGGATCTCTTTATAAGGACTTATAAATGAATAATGATCTTTGGCCTAGCTAGCTTCAGATTAATGGTTATAATTAAGACTACAGTTCTTTGTCAGAAAACCCGCACGTTCCCTAGAGCTTGTTAAAGGTATGGCTTCTTTGAATAAAATCATCAGCAATTCATATAGCCGCTTTTCTAATTCACATCACTCTACCTTGAGGAATTGTGTGGGCCAAAGGCATACACTTCCTTAATACACACGTATGCGTGTGTTTGTGTGTGTGTGTGTGTGTGTGTGTGTGTGTGTGTGTGCGTGTGCGCAACGAAGAAGCATTTCTGGAAAAATGGGAAGAGTTATTTTTGACAATTACAGTGTGTGCATTTGGCCCATGTAACTCTATAATTTTCGACTATGTAATTAACTACTGCGTATTTCTGTATGGTTAGCCACAAATCTGAGTGTTGCTTCGAACTTCCCGCCTTCAGCTGATTCTACAATTCTGTCAAGAACAACTCCTTTTAATAACTGCTGTATCCATTGAAATGATTGATAGTATGTCATATGTTATGTTGTACGATAAATTTGTTATAGAAAGTACGGTATGTTGAAAAAACTTTTCTCACCTATAAAACTAGCTCGTTTTTCCTAATGACTATTTGTATTACATGTGTCGTAAACTTCAACAACATAAAGGACCTCGTTATTACGTTCGTGCTGAACTTTTCGCTCGCCGAGGACACGATTATCTTCGTCGCGTAAGTCTGTTAACATTGTTGCGCTCTATTGAATAGTCAATAATAGTATTTGTCAATAAAGTACGGCTTTTATCGTAAAGCACAAAGCTTAAACGTAAAACTGCGTTATCCAATATCATGTTGGCTATATTTAGGATATGGCTGTTTATTAGATAATAATTCCTAAGGAAACAATGCGCCTCGACGGCTCGTTGAATTTTGACTGACTTCCGTGCTTATCTATATTTGAGTTGATTCTTGTATGTGTTCTCACGTATCCAAATTTATAGGGCAGTCTTCTTTGCATTTGAATTGGAACAAAAAGGAGCATCAATTCGCGGCGTCGTTTGTTGCTGTTTGTACATAGTCCTACATATGTTATCGCTCATAGCGTTCTGTATGGGCTTCGTCTTGCTTTTACTGCCCCACCTAGGACAAGGGCCATCGTGGTCGTTCGAAATGTCGAGGTACGCAGGCCGCAATTTACACTATATATGTTTATGATATGCATGCACGTCGCAATGCTCCGTTTTGTCACAGCTACCATATATCTGATAATAATTAAACTGTGACGAAGTATTCGTTAGGAGCTGAAAAGGAAATACTTACCGATGTTGCTATAAGGGTGCGCTTTTTTAGAATTCACGCGTGTTGACCAAAAGCAAATCAAAAGGTCAATATATGATATTGGCATGTTCGGATTTATTCATGGGCCCTTTGACTTTGCCCTTCGGAGCAGACCTTTTTTCGTGCTCAGACACATCACAGAACTATTGAAAAGCTGCAGTACTGTTCCTATGTCTCCTTTCATCAGGCTCAAAGGATCTCGTACGCTATCGACCACAGCGCTAAGAAAAGCTCACCGTAAATCGTCCGGTGGTAGTACTGAGTCTTTCTTACTTGAACGTCTGTCATCTTTGGCAGATGTTGAACTAAAAACTCGGCAAACAAAAGCAGTAATTAACATTTTAACCTAGTTTAGGGTGCAAAGACAAAACATAAAAAAATGTGTTTTTTTTATTTTGGATAAAATACAATATCATTATTATATTAACATGATAAACTAAGTGCACGTTTTCGTCACCCATGTGCGGCTCAGGACAACAGTAATAAGTAGCCTATTTTGAAATATCTGCTATGGAATCTTTATAGAACTACGAAAATATGTGCGACTGAACTATCTCTATTCCAACTTCATTTGTTCTTCAAATGTACATAAAGCATATTTATGATTTACTAATGTTAATATAGTCGTTCTGTATAAAAATACGTTCCATCTTTAACTTGATAAAGCCATATTTTACTTGACCTTTGATTCCAGATTCACCACCGGCTGCGCAGAACATTGGTGGAAAAATCTTCTCATGATTAACAATTTCGTATCACGAAAACAACAGGTGCGCCAAATGAGACCAGCTGTAACGTGTGACTTTGTTTGAAACTGTGTTTATCGTACGCCTTAATAAGGACAACCATATTAAAAATAGATGCTTTTTCAGGAATACAAACAAACAAACAAAAATCAAATAGTAAAAAATCGATTATCAAGGTATATCGGTTAGAGGCTACACATCTGTAAAAATTATGTTGAACAGGGTTTAACGAAATGTACACATGTACTAAAATTGCTTCGTTCCAACTTGCGTCTCGCATTTTGTTTTGCACCTGGAGCACACTTAACGATTACTTTCTTGGATAGCATCGGTCCTTTTTGCTAGTTATATACAAAGCGGGACGCCTCGGTAAACGTATATGTATATATATATATATGAATAGATATGGTACACGTGTAAAATAAATTCCCCATCTATAAATATTTAATTGCTGGACAAGAAACGAACGGGATATTTTTGTCTAACTCGATCGCCTCCATCCCGATTGCCAACGAACGTTTCTTACACGCTTGTACACACAAGTAAATGTATTATATTAATTACATGAATATAATATAGCTGTCTTAATTAACCGTTTTAAGTGTATTGAACAACTATGGTTGCCATCTTTTCTCGTACAATGCTCTTTCGTCGGGGCAGCCCTCGTCTACTTCTTAATAACGTAAGTTGTGCAACTTTGCTGTTTGCAGTACTGTGTTTTAAGATCTCTCGACACCTACAAAAGAGCGACTGAAATTCTTAAAATATACCCCATTATATTAGCATTATATATAGAAGCATTATCACAGAGTTAAATTTAATCTCGTAGGGATACCCAGACAGTTCTTGGAAAACGCCCCCAACAATGCTAGTCGTTTAGTCCTTACAAGGCTCCAAGCAGATTTACGTTGGACAAGTTATATTTTGATTTTATTGTAATTGTAGTAGTAGTAGTAAAAAAAGTAATTGTAGAAGGCAACTCGTTTTTTGCAACACCCACCTCACGATGTTAACAGAAGCACTTCAAATTGGTGTATAATATAACGAACACTTAGTAAGTCAGTATTTATTTATAAAGTAGCCGAATGACAAGGAAAAAGCTTTGTAAATATATAGGATGTCAAGTAGGACTGGCATTTACAGGCGACCTGTCTTTGGAAGGCTGTTAACTTTGGTAACGATCTTGAGTTCGGCCCTAGTCACTGTGACAATTACGCTCACTTTTGACTCGGGGCCCACTCTGTTGCTTAGAGAATACAAAGCTGGGTAAGCGATGTTTTATGTTATTTTATGAGTTAATTCACTTGCAAGAAATATAGCCGACTGTTTAGATTTTCAATAGAGTTGTAATAACTTAATTACTAGAGAACGACTAAGCATGTGGTTCCTATTGGCAATAATATCTTCTATTGTTTCTGTATGGGTATGGACTCATACGCTTGAGTTAAATTATTATTATTATTATTAGAGGTGATTATAGACGAATGGGGTAGAAACGTTGATGCTAATGGTTGCCGAATCTGATGGTTCTCATCAGACTGGGAGCAAGCATTCCGCTGAGTAGGCAATTATTAAGCTAGACCAGATCATGCACGTGCACCGCATCAATATATTCGGGATGCTGTCGATGGTAAAGTTAAGTACATTCGGGTGAGACTATACGTTCTCACGTGCAGGAACGTCCAGTTTGCGGCGATCGACTCAGATTCACAGTCTGGTCACTTGTCGAGAAATTATTCAATAGGCGACACTAGCTTGACTACCTTCGGGGTAAAGCAAATATTTAATGCACGACAATGAGTAACTTCGCGACAGATTCCGGGAAGTTAAAAATTGGAGAAAGCCCAAATTGCTATCGTTAACTTTACAGCAGAAGATTCCTCCTGTCGTTATTACAATAGCACCTCTCATCAAATGATTTTTTCTAATGAAATTCGCATAGCCTCTATGACGAAGAGTGCTTACAATAGTTCTATATATTCACTTTTTCATAGGGATATTGTGTTATTGATCTGTATTTATAAAGTTCCTTCATAAGTATTGGTAGAAGAGAATCAATCGAATTTGATTGATTGAGAAATTTAACTTAAAGATTGGTTATCAAAAACGATAGTAGTAATCATAATCAGCACTGCGTCTATCTAGCTACTGCTGAGGATGTATTTGTTGGCAGATCTGGTTGTAACTGTCTTCTACAATGTGTATTATTTTACCTGTGTAAATCTTGTTCGTTTCGTATTATAATTTAATGTTACCGATACCATAAGTTCCAACGGTACTATATACATCATCCTTGTATTACACTACATTGGTTGACTAGGGATTTTATCGAAAATACGTGACTTTTAGGCGAATTTGGAACGACGTGGAGCGATGAGAGCACAGTGAAGATAAAAACAATGATTGGCAAAATGGGTTTTGTCGCTTTAGAGTGTCTGACCTAAATTCGTGGCAAAATGTATAAATGTAAATAATATATATATATATATATAAATGTATCCCAGATAGCATACTGTGAGCCTACTATACGTCCCCGCAGTAAACGTAAATACGTATATAGTCCCCGCAGTAAACAATTTCGATAATGATTACCACTCTGTTGTTAACAACATACTCACACCGCGCAGGACTCGGCACGTATATTTCGACGAAGTGTACACGAAAATTTATACGAGGGGTGGCGTTTTCTTCGTGGGCGTCTACCTTGGCCTTTTTCTCTCAAAATACAAATCTCTCAATGTTTCGAAGGTTTGTGAAAATTATTGCTTTAGCTTTTCTATAACATTTTTACTACACGGCTTACTTGTCAGACAAATCGAATTTGACGTCTGACAAACGTAATTTCTGAATAAAACGAAGAAGCTATATTGTGTATAATTACTATACTCAAAATGGAGGTGTACTAGCAAGTAAATTTCATTTTTGATTTTTGCTCACTGCTAAATAGTGCGATAACGCGATAGGCTGGCTGTTGACGGTGGCTGTTTCAATGGCCCTCATATATTCAACGTACTATTGGAACCGTGGGCTAAAGCTACCGACCTCAATGGAGGCTGCAATATTTGCTGGACTTCATCGGCTCGTCTGGTGTGGACCTCTACTCTTTATGTGTCTTTCCTGTGCCGTTGGATATGCCCGTACGTTGCGCTATATATTACTAGACGGACCTGCAAACTTCGCCAGGCGTCTGCTTTATGCTTGATTAATTTGATTAGGTTACTTAGGCTAAAGTATACATTAATAGTTACCTTATTGCAAGCACCCTGAATTACCTAGCTCTGAACAACGATAAAATTGACTAAGTCTACTAATCTATCGATTAACTTCCTAGGACTTTACCAAGGTTGCATTTTTATTCTTTTTTTTTTTTTTTTTTTTTTTTTTTTTTTTTTTTTATTATACTTGGACATTTCATATACTGCCTTTGCGCACAAGGGCTCTCTAATATCCATAGTTGTCCAGACTTAAAACTGCGACCCTTGAACTAAAGGGGATGATCGAGGTCTTTCGCCTGTCTTCCTTCTATACTACGTAGATAAATCACCTAGACGAAAAAAGCTACTATATTAAATTTTTAATTTTTATAACGCCGAATGATCAGCTTTAGGTGTATATTGCATTTTCACTCAGCTCATACGGATCTGCTGATTAATGTAAACATAACGAAGTGCCATGTAATTATTTTTTTTACACTTTTGTACCTATTTCAGAAAACCTTTTGAAAGATATTATTGTAAAGTATCCGCCATATCAGTCGTTATAACTTTCCAACTGACACTTCCTGAGGATTCGTTCAAAAAACATCCAAAGTAGCTAGAAATATATCTTTACCCTACTGCCACGTGAGCGAGGCGAACATCTAATTCGCCTATAGAATTATAAATTGCATTTTTTTAACTTAGCTCGGTGAAAGCTTCCAAGCGAGGGTATCGAGATTCTCCTCCTCCTCCCCATCCCCATCCCCATCCCCCCCTTCTCTATAGACCTCCTCCATGATTAATATTTTATGAGTGAAAAAAAGTTTTAACAAAACCTCACCAAAAGATAGCTCTCCACCTCGCCATGTGTACGATGTAAAATGCTATAAGAAAGTACGGTTAGTTGCAAAAAACAAGAAATTTGCCTAAATCAACATTACGTTTTATGGAATAATTAAAATGAACTCCTATACTCAGTACTAACTATTGGGGATGGTACACTAGCGACCCGACTACGTTAAATCGATTTAGATCGGAACAAACATATACAAACAATCCTAGAGCTTTAGTAATATATATATATATATATAGGCGACCGTCGGCAACATGTAACGTCGTCAATATTTTCTCTGTTGGAAAACTTTTGAGCTGTAAACAACTTCAATGATATTTTATTTATCTGACTACTTGGATTGGTTGGAAGCCAACACGGCTTTATTCAGGCAAGAATCGATTCAACCAAAAAGAAATTAACATTTTAAATGGAATTGTTAGAAGCTAACATCTCAAAAAGATACTCGCGAATTTTAGAGAGAAATTTCAGTAGAATCTTTGATAAATTTGTGCTTTGATTCCGCAACCCAACATAACGAATGGGAACCTGAAACGAGGCAATTGTCCTTTTTTTTTAAAGACGTTCATGTACGAGAGCACATATCCGAACGAATAGTGTCACTTCTATATACTATAGCCATGGACGATAATCATTAATTCCCCACTTCTCTTCATCCTAGGATTGATCCTCTGGATGTTATCATGGCGAATATGGGCCATTTTCTCGCGCCTCACCTATTGTATGCTGTTATCACACGCTTATGTGATCCTGTACTCAAACGGCATAGCCCGCTCTCCATTTTTCTTCTCGTATGATTATTTGGTAAGAAACAGCCATAACTATTAACTAGAGGAAGGTTATCTATATAAATTAGTTATTTTCATCATTCAAAATCAATTTCTATTGTGACGCAATCCTGAATGAAAGATAACTTGAAAGGATTGTATTGCTGAATCAACCGGTATCGTTTCTTCAGATTCAAAGAAAGATAATGAGCAAATCGAAGCTATCGACGTAGCTCTTTAAATACAGCATAATTTTGCTTGACCGCCAGACCTTTACGCTACGCCCGATAAAAGCGTCCCGTTTCTATTTTCTTATTTCTTGCGTAGTCCTACCTGGTACTGCATCATGTCGTATTCGCCATATTGGTCTCTATCATTTTGTCGCTACTTGTTGAAAAACCCGTAACGGAGCTACTGAAGTTGTGCGGCCTTCGGCCTTTTGAGGCTCAAAGAGGTAGGTGCAACTATAAAGTAGATTGCTTCCATTTAATCTGAACATGGATGCCTGCATAAGCATGTCACGCAGTGTAATGGCAGATTATCGCTCAACATTTGAGATCACGTCTTATATTGGTCAATATTTTATTGTCGTTTCAGTGTCACAAGCGTCAGAGCCTCCTCAGCCCAAGCCGACCCTCCAACCCATTCTCATAGTGGCTCAAAAGCCCAAGAGACGTAGCAACGACACTGTTAATAACAGAGAAACTTGCTTCGAACTCAGGTAACCATATGGCAACAAACTACTTAAGTTAATCATTGACTGGCAGCTAAAGACATAAGTTATCCTAGCAACGTAGTCGGCTTCGTCCGAAAAAAACGTTACCACTTCATCTAATTACGCCTTCGACGAGAGTAGCCGGCTGAACCAAATACAATTGTTCGACTCGTTTGAATCAGACATTACACACGATATGATAACTTCTCCGGTGGCCAATAGTGAACGCGTTTAAAATTAAACTTCATTTGGGGGGGGAGGGGCATTGCTGTATGATGACCATGCTGGTGTTAACGGCTTACCTATTGTTTTTCCTTGAAAATAATAAGAATACGAATATTACTCTCACAGATAGCTTGTCTGTTTATGTTAATAAAACGCAATGCTTAAGTGTATATAAAAAATTTGTGATCTAAAACTTTTATACACTTGTATTCCATCTCATGCCAGACACGACACAAAGAAATATTCAGGTATTTACACTGTATAGCGACATCTAAATCTGGACGTTCTCTCATTTTGTTGCTTGTTTCTAAGAGTGTACCTAAGTAAAAACACATACTACAGTGAAACGTTTGGGAGATTGATAAAGTCATCATTTGTCGCGACTACAGCTTCCATTCCGGACCGAAACCATTGACAAACAGCGTCAGCTAATATAAGTGACACGTGCACGGAATTGTCGCACACACCCTACATACAGTTAATTCAATGGGATCAGGCTTTGGACTGGTACCAGATCAAACATCTACAAAAAAAAAAAGCAAGGCTTTATAGCAACCTAAAAAAATAAGAGAAAATGCCAAAAGTCTCGAAAGCTTATTTAGATGATCAGATTGGTACTCAGTGTATTGAACAATTTTTCAAGCCATATTAATGAATTTTCAAAATGTTAAATTTGAACAATATAAGGTATGTTTTGGCTTCTTTCATAAAAGTGCTCCTTGGACATTTCCAAATATGCATCAATATAAATAGTATTGTAAACTGCTGATTTCGGGCATGCAAAATCAAGACAGCTATGTGTGTGTATATATGTTTTTTTTTAATAAATAAGGAATACGACATGATCTTTTCTCAAAGCACTGACATTGATCCCGTGGTAGAGGAGTTCAGTAGTCAGCTGTCATTCAGTCTCAAATGGTAAGTCCACATGAAGAACAGCCGACAATAATTTTCCTTTGATGTTGGGGAAGTCGCGTCTGGTAGGCGAAGGATTCTCAGTTCATATTGGGTGTGATAACGTCTTGTACACCCGCAAAATGAGCCCAATATAAGCTCGGCTGAATCCCAACTTCCCCTCATGTCGATACCTTTATAATTCGATGTAAAGGTCTTCTGCGTTTCATTATAATGATAAATATTGTTTCACGCTGATTACAATTCTAAATTCAGGTAAGTAAAATCAGGCATCTGTACATTTTCTATTTCATTCGTAGATGGTTTATGCAACGTTAATCAGCCCTTCATCAAACTTCTGAGAGGGTGCAGCCAAAGCGTTGTTTAGTGAAGCTTGCTTAGTCAAATCCTGAACTCTTTGTAGCTTTTTCTTTTTTAAGTAAACCCTGCCATTTGTTTCAGGTTCCCAGTCAAGTCCAATTAGAAATTTTGCTTTTTTTTTTTATATATATCAGTGTAATTTTAGCTGTCAAATTATGATCGAGCCATTAAATGTATCTCATAGATCAAAACTAACCAGCGTTTGGCAACAGCCAGGTTTGCCTGCTGTTTGTGATATTTAACAATATGATTCAACTCAGCTCACTCGACTAACCTTAATTAGTCTCCACTTCGCTAAGTTCGGTATTAACTTCGGTAAGTTAATGCTTTCCTTGGCTTAAAATACGTAAAGCAAGCCAAAGGTTAGTTTTTAAAAGAAACAGGCCAGTTTTGCTAATTACAGTCATAGATAGCAACGGTAGTTTTTGTTCCGAAAACGACTTCGTGACATGGCCAATTGAAACTAAAGTAAAGATAAGTGTAGGCTCTTTATGATACTTTTTTAGGCAAGAACCCTGGAGGAAGTATGGAAAATTGTCTTCACTCTGCATAGAAGTGCGGAACGTCTGTGGTTCGATTTAGTACAACAGACGTTCTGATGTTGCAACATCATCTTCGGGGAATTATCGTTTACGCGGCAAGAATTATTAATACGCTTGTCTTTGTATCGTAAAAGGATATTCATTTCAGATTTGAGTCACCATACTGCGTACAGTCTTCGCACGCTTGCATTGGCTTAGTTTTACAAAACAATCTTTTTGTGTCCCTTTAAGGACAATCGTTGGAATACGGACCTTGCACCCAAAGACGTACAAACAGGATAGGTCGCTGCTGGTCATAAAACAAATGTAGATTGTTTTTAGTTGGTTAGGAACCGAAAAGGCAAGAGACGCAAGAGTAGCTATAGTTTTTATTCGAGTGGCTCACGTAGAAGCTTTTGTAGGGTGACCACCCTGCAGCGCTTGTTGGTCGGTTACTCCGGCAAATGGAACGAATGCCTTTCTGCACTACGCAAAATTCAAAAAAAGGAGAAGACAAACGCACGAGACCTCATTAGACGGCCTGTTGAATCCTTATTCTCCACCCTTTTTTGTCACAGCTCATGCTTTGTGCAGAAGGCCCCAGCGCTGTTCATTATTTCTGTATAGTGGTTCATTTGTGTAAGTCCACCGTGGCCCATGTCGACCTGCGCTGCTTCTTTAGAAGCTTTAGATCTGCTCTTTTACCGCCTACAGCTCACAAGGATTCTATATGCATGTTTTCTATAGTGCCCTTCTTTGGGTACTTGCTAATCGGCTCTTCCGGTCTCACTACAATCACCATCATTGCTACACTGATCTTCCCCGTCCATCGACTCAAGGCATTCACGGTGTTGAAGAATAGCCCGATTTAAATCTCCTGATAGTTTCCTGGGACCCATTTAGCTTATGAGTTTTCACTGCCAGTCAGAGATTAGAATGAATCGTTTTAAAGAGCTGCTCAACAACCTAATCCTATCTGGGTTAACCTTGATAACAATAATTTTAGAAGCTTCTCTCATTTTTTTTCGATTTCAGCGCAGACCTGTCTGTTCTACTTGGATTCAATATACCATCAAACTTTTAAGGAGCAGCTACAGGTATTATGTAATTGAGCTTAATGTAGTCGGAAAAAAATACACGCTCTGAACCTTTTTTCATGGAAACGTTATGAAATATGAATATGCTTGTTTCGATAGTTACTAGCCTAACCTCTGTTGTACATAATCGTAACCTATCATGCGATAAGGTATACACATGGTGCATAGTATTAAGTTAAAATCGAAGTATTGAGAACGCGATTTTGTACAAACGGCACATGCATCGGTTGTCTGAATTTTAGCTGTTCGCTTAAGAGTATTCCCGCAAGACTCGATGAAAACTTATCGTATTTTCCAGTCGTGAAATCCAACCGTGAAAATAACATTCAGCTCATTCTAGAGGTTCTCGTCCTCAGTGCTCTTCCAGCCTTCAAGAGGGCAAGCTGTAAGAGGTTAGATTTTATGAAAACGCTCTTAAGGCAACATAAATAATAAGTTTTTATGCCTATTTTACTTATAGTTTGATCGTCGATACATATTTGCTTTCATTCTGAGCACAGAACATGATGCGCGTGTTTTTTTCCACTACATTTTCACATTTGTGGTGACCCACTTTTGAACGCTTGTAAAGTGTAAAGCACACGTTTAAAGGCTCTGACACGCGGCCTGATGAAAAGAAACAAATCGATAAATGAGACGCCACGGGTTTTAGATTCAGCATCTTTAATCACATGTCCTGAAGGGTGACATCGATTTCAGCACGCTCAAGGCTATCGACAGGTAATTTTTGAGCAAATTCACTGGTATCTTTTATTCTTGTTCCTGGATATGTATGTGTAACTAACATCAATCAAACAATGAAAACAAGCGTATCCATTAGACTTCTTGGACAATTCGTAATACCTAAGAATTTAATCATGCCAACGGCTTTTTTCTACAAAAAGGTCCAAGCCTTTTATAGAAAAAATCTCTAACAATTACCAAAATAATTTCACACATATGGTACAGATTCGTGGTATATTACGAAATTAACTAATAGTGGTTTACTTATATACAGGTGCCTAAAATGGTTTTTTGCAGTTAGGTAAATACACTTGAAAAAGGATCCTGTACGAAGAGCTATTCACCTCAACAAAAACGTTACTAGATTTTTTAAATCCAATGAAAGTTGCTTAATTAGATTAAAAAAAAATTTATGACTAATTTTTGCTAAAATTTGAAATATATCTACATAAGTTAATTGGTGATAAACTTACTTTCAAAAATATCACCTGCTGCGAGGCGCCTGCAGAAGGAATGAGAAATGAGATAGAATTTTTATCGATATTATTTTTGGGGGCGTGTCGCTAGGAACATCGTCCCAAAAAGGACTTCCGAAGCTACCGCTATGCTGATGGTAAAGGACCGAATGCTGGCTCATGTCACCTGTTCCCAAATTCATATATCCATCAATAGATAGATTGGCGAATGCTAGATCCTAAATGTACGTGCATAGTATACATACATTATCGCGATGCACTATCTGGTAACGCAATGCTCGATCTTGCTGCACACGCGCCGTTATTGCGACGAGTCTTGGTATAATCTGACACATTAATGCTCATCAAATGGTAGATCGACATAATGATTGTTTGATCGTTTGGAAATAAGCGGCCTGGTTCTCGTCGTACAATCAGCATAGTGAGAGGAAGTTATTACATGTACACTCGCTTATCGTCCGCAGTTAAAATGTACGCTTAAAATTCTTACAATGCTTCTTCAGATCTTCTATTCATCTTCTAACTTTAAGATCGGCAGAGCACCCCGTGATCGGTAGAGAAAAGTCAAACGATAAGAAATATATTTGTCATATCCAAAAGGCCAAGTCAGCAAAGCCGCATGGTCCCTAACTACGGCAAAAACAGCAAACAAAGGGAGCTTTTTCAATGCGAATGTTCTGTCGGAAAGATGTCGAGACCAATCGTCTTTTGTGCTAAATAGCTAACAAGAATGAAGAAAGCTATTCATTGCAAGTAGTTTATCGCTCAGTTTTCAATACCGGTACATCGTACGTCTACGATAACTACTTTCTCTTAAAATCTGTTAATCAGTTTGCAATCAGTTTAGCAGCAAGCATGGCTGATGAAAACCGTTTACCTTCGTCTGAGTGTCAACAATTTAC